CTCTTGAATGGAGCTTTGGCCCTTGTTCTAGGGGTGGATTAATCTACCAGACTTCCTTTATGTTGAGCAAATGCAGAACTATAAGAAAGTAACAAGCTGCTGGTATCCAGTGGAGCCTCTGCCCCTTAAAGCAGTGCTGGAAGAATCTCTGTCGGGTTCTGTTTTTCTCTGCTGGTGTTTTTAAGTAGTTGGTGGTTAAGAATGAATAGAATAGGGGCCGGCGGAGTGGCTCAGTTGGTTAAGAGCTCGCTCAAGAGTTTGAGCTCTGAGCAACAGCGGTTTGAGTCCAGCCCGAGCTGAGCAGCCGCTGAGCTCAAAAAAAAAAAAAAAAAAAAAAAAGAATGAATGGAATAGCTCTTTAGTCTTCTTTCTGGGCACATCATGTAGTAAATCAGTGTCTGTAGGTTGATTTGGGAGCCTGACTACTCATCCTAACTTCGTGTCCTCTCAGCTGCACAGTTGATCGCTGGCTCCTTGAAACTTTGCCTTCCCTCGTCTGCCAGGACACCACATTCTTCTGGCTTTTCTCTCACCTCGCTGGCCACTCCTTAACCTCCTTTGCTCAGCCTCTCAAATATTGGAATGTACTGGCATTGGTTCTGAAACCCTGTATCCATCTGAACTGTTTCCAGGTGCTCTTAACAGTCCTGTGGCTTTGAAGTATAACTATTACCTGTCACTTGAGACATTCGTATCACTAGTTCTGTCATCTCCCTTGGCTTCAGTTGCCCGTCCAGCGGCCGACTTGATGTTTCCAGCTGGATTGTCAGTGTCCTTTTAAACTCCGCATACTCAAAACAAATTTCTTGATTTTCTCTCATCTGTCTCCCAGCCCTTCTCTCAGCATGTTTCTCTCTAACCTCCATCTACCCAGGTGCTGAAGCAAGAAATCATGCTTAGTTGTTTCACCATCAACTTTGACATTCAGTCCATTGACAGATCCTACCAGCTCCACATTCAAGTAAATCCCACTTTTCTCTTTCTCCATTCCCACCATCTTAGTCCAGAGTATCATCTTAACAGGTTCGATGTTTTCACACCCATCTTCCTATGTCTATTTACACAGGCAAGTGGTCCTTATAAAACATCTTCGATCAGACACTAGGCTGCTGAAAGTCCTCCACTGACTGCCCACTGTATTTTATATAAAACCCAGGCTCTTAACCTGTACCAAAAGGGCCTCTTGAGCTTATTACTGTTAGCTGTGCGCCAGGCTTCCCTTACTGCCCTTACTTACCAGGGGAGGAGGGTGCCTTGACTAAATCTTTTGCCCTGGGCTCTTTGCTCTGCCTGGTACATGGTTCTGGTTCCTGTCTTTAAACCTTAGTTCTAAGCTTGGATGTCACCTCAGCGAGGCCTTTCCTGTCCTTTCAATCTAAAGTAGAGCCTCTGCATTATTTTCTCGCATATTGCCCTATTTATTTTCTTAAAAGCAAGTATCACAGTCTGAGAGGTCTGCTTTGTTTACTTGTTTACTGCTGATTGTCTGCCTTGAGCACCACTGCACCCGAGCACATAGTAGGCACTGCCTGGCACAGGGCTGGCACTTCATGATATCTGTGCACTGACCAAATGGATTCATTCACTCATTATATTATTTCTGAGATTAAGTAAGTTAATGAATTCCAGGTAACCAGTGTAAATAATTTGTAATATGACCCATTGCAAATTGATAGGGAAGACATGATATGCTTTTCATAGCTTTGGTTTGATTTGGCCCGTGTTGAATCTAAATTTATATTAAAATAAGCAATTTTCTTTGTTTAGAAGAAATTGTATTCAGCAACTTCCATATATTTGTTTATTTTCTTAGCAGTTCTTCACAGTAGCATTATTCACAGATGAGAAAATGGAGACTTGAGAAGACTATTTTTCCAAGATCACTCAGAGGGTGTGGAAAAG